CCAAAGTGGCAGGAAGAAAATGGTATCCAGAAGTTGCCCTGGCCGAGCCAATCTCTTGACATGAACCCCATCGAAAACCTCTGGGCCATCATACTTGACCGGCAAGTCAAGAAACTACCAAAAAAAACCAACTGCGAAGAGCAAGTTTTGAAGCAAGAATGGGCGAAAATCCCACAATCTAAAATTGACGAGATGATTCTCACGATGCCCCAAAGGATCAACGAACTCCACGAAGTGAAAGGAAGATCTACTAGATATTAATTAAATTATAAATATATCAATTCATGTGAATATGACTGAAAAAATTCATTTTTTTCTGAAAAGGTGGTGTCTATTTACTTATGACCACGCTGTGTATATACATATATAATGTATAATAATTGAAATGTGACTGTATTTTACAAAATACTAGTCGACAAAAACACAGCCAAGACAGGTTACTTTGTACGGACCAAAGGTCACCTTTATGTTATTTGATACGGTAACATGAGTGCACGTGGGCTGCGTCATTGTAACTTTTCTATTGTTAGTCATTCATTAATATGTAATTTGATTAAATAAATAAATGAATAATATACAAATCTAGAGGGCGCTGCACACACAACATACCCTCCACACTGATATTTCACGTGTCTAGTGTTCCGTAAGCTTTTTTTCAGCTGAAAAGTGTTCCGTGGCCAAAAAAAAGTTTGGGAAACGCTGTTCTAAGGATTTGGCAACAGGAATAAAACAAGCAAGTGTGGCATATGGTAGCTTATCTTGACAAGCTAGTCTATCTGCTTCAAATAATTTTGTGTTTGGGGACTTAATTCTCCCTGTTTCAATTACTGCTATATAACAATTGTTGGAATCATATCTATTGCCCTTTGTGTGACACTGACATTCTCCAGCCATCAGAGACTACAAAAAGGCTTTGTATAAAGGCAACTTCTTGGAAACCCAATTGCAACATTTTTGAAATCAGCTCTGCAAGATGGTGTATCATGGATAGGATATTCAAGCAAAATAAAGTGACTTATATCCCAATCTAGATTTTAACCCTGCTTTGAAACTTGTGAAAGATATGAAGGCCACAAGAGCCTATAGTCAAGAGATGAACATTATGATCTTTGGCAAGACCAGCATCTATTTTTTATATAGGCTCCAATTAACATTAGAGCCATTCATGGACAGTTGAACGAGGTTGCAAAAGCCAAAACTTCCTAAAAAATCATCAAATAAGTCCAGAAAATTGACAGCTGCAGCATGACCCATGAAACTGTTTCTGTAGCATCTCAACATGACAAAATTAATGCCCCTTGAGCCACATTAGAAAATCTGTTTCTTCTGAAAGTGTATATTGTGACTTTCATCAAAAAACAAAACCTATGCCTCATTTTTTAACTTTCTTTCAAGTATAACTTTCATATGTGGAGCTAATCCATAACACATTATGTACACACATTTTTTCTCTCCAAAGGTTTTTTTTTTTTGGTTATTTCATTTTCTGGGAACTGCTTCTGCTAAGTAAATGAGATATGATCACTTGATCTTAATGAATCACCAGAGGTGACTGTTAGGTTAGGTTAGGTCAGTCTTCAATAATCACTTTCTGTGAAAAGGAAAGTAATCTTGGATCCTGTTGAAGTTGATATTTGAATACTGGGCTTCTGATTTATTACTGATGAGGACTTGGTTGTTGATGGTACAAAATTAGTTAATGGCTGCATTTTAGAAGGGGCATTTTCTTTCTTCTTATGTTTTTCCCCTCTCATGTGACAGCAAAGAACAGAAGTAATCATAGTTGATATGTTTATCTCTTTCATACACTAAATACTTGATGGGGATTCTTGTCCCTTTTCATCCATTTTTAAAATTTGTCATCTGTAAATTAAACACCCTGAAAAGTGCTATTTCTAGGTATCAGAAAAGAGGATATAAAAAGCAACTAAGAAACAGGCCATGTTTTCTTACTGTAAACTTAAGTCAAGGCCTATGTGAGTGTGTGTGGGTGAATGAATTCCAACCCCACAAACTACCATCAATTGTAATGCTGACACTTTTACTAGAATTGACAGTGGAAGGGTACAAATCACACAAAGGGGATACAAGTCACAGTTGGATTAACACTCTTCTGTTATGTGTTTGGTGGGCAAGATCTACACTAACAACAACTCTTGCATAGAGCCCAGCTTTGTATGCTATGACAAATCTAGGCCACCCTAAACCTAACAGTTACATATAGCTTGGCCTATGTGGTGAGGGGGAAATTAAAAGAGCTATGAACTCCAAACATAGCATGACAAAGCCATTTTTTTCATTTAAAACTATCCTTAGAGCATTCTGTTCCGAGATATAACCTAAAGTTAGGCCTAGGCTACTTTGGTTAGGCTTCATAGTTACATTGAGAAATAGACTAATCATAAAATGAAGAGATCAAAGGTGACAATACACAAGTATTTTCATCTGAAGCAGATTAAAATGAAAATGGAGAGTGAGCTTTCCTCATATTAACAATGAAATTGGTCACATCGTAGGATGACGAGTTTGAGGAATGTCCAAGGTGCATGTACATGAATGGGTTTACTTATATATTTCACATTTTATCTAATTCTGCTAGTGCACCTTCACTTTTTGACACATTTCTAGTAAGCAGGCAACTTAGAGGGACAGGGAACAGTATCAACCTATAGTGACAGGGTGTAAAATTAGGTATTTTGTTTTTTTATTTTATTTTTTAGCTTTCATTTTGATGAAATATATACAGATTCCAAACGAGAAGTAATACAAATTTATTCATCTCGGCCTGAAAAAAGTTAACAATTATAGATTTGCAATTTTCCTGACCAATCATTGAAAAATCAAGGGCATTCCATGCCTTGAAACAGTTTTTCCGAGCTTTTCCCGGTTTCACCTGACTTCCTGACCGCATGGGAACATTGTTCAGAAGAAGTAAATCACCTTGTAGAAGAACTCAAGATTCCTGTCAATAATACTTTCAAACTATCACCAGGGATAGAGCTATGTATAGTCTCTCTCGACACTGACTTGAAGAGAATTCGCATGACAAGACAGCATGGTACAATTAAAGAGGATACTCATATCATAAGCATGGACAAGAAAGAAGATCTGGTTTTATTAATTAAACTTTCAAATGAACTTTATTTCACATTGATAATTAATGGTTTAATGTTCATGATGTCTATATTTTTAATATTAATGAATTACTTTTTTTATTAATCCTGGAAGTTCAAGTGTTACGTACCATTGTTTTCTTGTGTAATTTTCAGTTATGTAACAGGATTGATAAAGGGACTTCCCAATCAGAGAAGGGGTAGTCTTGTAGGCTATGATTTTTGTTAGTTTAGATGTTTGTATAGTTTTTTTTTATGAGAAAACTAGAAACCAAGTGTTATTGTATTGAGGTGTTATTTATTTGTGAAGACAGTGTTAGTTACATGGAGTTTGTACAAGTTGTATCTGTTGAACCTTCTGTTGGAGAAATAAAACACATTTTTATAGTTTCTCTTAAACATCTGAAACTTATAAATCTTATTGCAATCTACAAAATAATTCACGATTTTCTTCTTCTTACAAATAACTATAAATAACACTAAATTCATAGTGTACCATTTGATAACACAGAATTTATAAAACCTTCTAAATATAAAACTCAAAACAAGGTTGTTAAAACAATGTTAGCTAGCAACTTACACCAAAAGGAAGGGAACTTCTCAGTATGGGTGGTATGTGTCTGCTATATGTCTGAGAAGGGGAGGCATAGCTAGCTATGCTATGTCCTCCTGATGTTGTAGAGGCAGAATTACGGGAGGAAACAGTAGGCTGACTACAGGACGTATGGACTACTACTAGCTGAAAATAGAAACAAAAAAATACACAGAGGATAAAAAAATCAAATTAAAACAAATTACATTGTTTAAAATCACATTTCTTTTAGCAACTAACCACAATTTTGTAGTTAAAAAAAATTTTTTTGAAGGTGAACTTAGTGTACCATGTCCATTGTTTCATTTTGATAACTATTCAGCTCTATTCATGATGGTTTCAGAATCTTATACGAAGCTAAAATTTAAAGTGCATGAAATATATACTAAACGTGTATCTATTTGCAAGTTTCTAATCAGAAATCTCAACACAGATCAAGAAGTTATCTTTACTACACAAATATGGCTGTCAACACAAATCAATAGGTTGTCTTTACTACACAAATATGGCAGTCAACACAAATCAAGAGGTTGTCTTTACTACACAAATATGGCAGTCAACACAAATCAAGAGGTTGTCTTTACTACACAAATATGGCAGTCAACACAAATCAAGAGGTTGTCTTTACTACACAAATATGGCTGTCAACACAAATCAAGAGGTTGTCTTTACTACACAAATATGGCTGTCAACACAAATCAAGAGGTTGTCTTTACTACACAAATATGGCAGTCAACACAAATCAGTAGGTTGTCTTTACTACACAAATATGGCTGTCAACACAAATCAAGAGGTTGTCTTTACTACACAAATATGGCTGTCAACACAGATCAAGAGGTTATTTTTACGACAAAATAATTATATAGCTATTGGCAAATAATGAGAGGTTATAATTAAGATAAAATATGAATAATATGAAAAGTTAGTTTAGTATAGAAGTTGAAATATTGAAAAGATCAACAGAAATACTACAGACCATAAGGTATAAGATTATAAAATAAGATTCAATACCAGAATCTGAAGCACCTAAGTTGAACAAAACAGGTAATAACTAGAAAGATCCATCAGTGGAGAAAACCTAACCAGACTGTAAATTCCAACAAAAGTAAAAATATATTAATGCTTCAAACCATATATGAAATTGATTTAAACAATGAAATATGATTCAACTAAGTAAAATAGTATTAAAATAATTGTTAAATAGCACACTTAATAAGCTATAAATACCTTAAGTGATTTAACTCTCTCAACATGAGGTTGGTCGAATTCACCAAGCTCATAACCACTTTGTATTAATTATAATTTCCATACTATTACTTTTAATACAGTATGAGTATCTTCACAAAATTTGGCAGACCTTTACTGAACATTACTTGTCATTTGTACAAAAAAAAATATTTTTTTTTAGTAAAGATACTTTACTAAAGATTTGTGCATGAATATATCATGTCCTATTTTTTCTTTTTTGACTAGTTCGAGTGCAAAGTGAATTCTAAATTAAGATTAAAAATACTTTCCTTTGTCTCAAAAATCTCAAAGTTCATTTATGTAACCTCTAAAATATCCTAAATAAATGTACTTTTTTTTTACAATAACACTTTATATGTTATCTGTTATTACCTCTATCCTAAAGATATATTTGATTCTCCAGCCAGTAGACAAATCAAAGTATGATGAAAAGAAAAGTTGTAAAATCAGAAAAAGAATGAGACGCCATGCCCATTTTTCTTTATTATTGTTCACAACGTTTCAAAGTACTTCTCTTGAGAGTTTGAACTGCTAAACATTTCACATTTATTTTCTGTGTTTATCCTGCTGTCAACAACTGAAGTAGAAATTTGCTGAAAACAGACCAACAAATCACTGCTTGTTTCATTAGACAGTTTATGTGACACCATAATTAATATGATACTCTCGAAAGGAACAAAGCATACGCAAAGAACTAAGCTGACTTGACCTCTGCTCTGAGAACACGACGTGGAATTTATCACCTTATGTATCCTACAGTGTTTACAACAATAATTCACCAGACTGCACTTTGAATTTGTGAAAACTTTTATTATATGGTTTGGAGCCAATTCAACAAACATCTGGGCTGTTTGGAATTTAGCAGTATAGTGTACAGGCAAACAAAGATATTACTAGTGTCCATGGTTATAAAATCCTATTTCCCTTTCAGCAAACTTATTCATCAACCAATAAATACTATTTATTCACAAATGCTTAAATTTTAGTTATTAAAACATAGAAGAATAAATAAAAAATACTTTGAAAAACAAAGATTTTGAATACTTACAGTGTTATGAGATTTTGTGCTCATGCGTTATACGTGCTAAGCCTTGCTGTAAGCCTCGATTATTCTTCCAAGTGGAGGGTGAAGAGATATTAATTTTTGTAGGCTTCAAATATATATTTTAGAAAATAAATAAATTATCAACTTACTATACTAGTGCACACAAAACCCATGTCATTTATTTGTGTTTCTAAACAAGCTATATATGACTTTAAAAAATCTCATATCTGTTCAGAGCAACAACTTAGTCATCACACTTCCACAGTTTCAGTAAAATTATGACTTTCTCTTTCAGGCTATTTACAAACGATCGTCAGATTTACATAAAATTGTTCTTTCTCTTGGGAGTATACATTTAGTCAAAAGAAGTAGGTGGGACTAGACAAAAGGTTTCAATAGAAAAGAGTAGTAGAAGGAGCCATTCTACTAGATTGGGTAGATATATTTATATCTCAGCAAATCAAAGAGGTAGGAGGTTCTTATTTTATATTCTAGCTTGTTTATATCTCAGATTAGAGTTTTAAATTTGTTAGCCACTGTACTATGTGACAAACAAAAATTGATATTTAGAATTTTTTCCTTTATAATTCCTTTTAAATTAAAAATTAAAAGGGATATAATATTAAAATATGAATTATAAACTATGTTTTGATGTCAATTCCATTGACACAAGTAATAGTAAAGTTATTCAATAAAACTTTAAAAATAACTCTCTAAAAGGTCATAACATGCATTCTTTAACCTGCTCACAGCAAAGGGGTTAACTCATCGCACCATTTCAAATAACTAATCATCATCAATAATGCCAAATAGAAATTTTTTAAAGTATTTGTAATGCCTGTTTTCAAGCTATTAATTTTATTAGCTAAATTTGTGTCTATACTCACAACTGAAACACTGAGAAAGTACTTTATCATATTTGATTCAGTTTGTTTGTTTCAGAGCAAAGCCACACTGGGCTCTCTGCTGTGTCCACCACAGGGAATCGAACACCAGACTGTACCATTTTAAGTCCATAAAATACCACTGGCACACTGGGAGATATTGATTCAGAATTAATTTATTATATTGCTTCATTGCATATGGCAATAATTTACAACTTCATTTACTAAGATTTCCAGAAAATACCAGGAGATTACACTTACTAGTAAACAATAAGAGTTATGAATTAATGTGTAATAAAACCACTTTTTCACTGAAATATAAAACAATTTTTATATAAAACTTGTGAAGTAAAATAGTCTAAAAAGATGAGAGTTATAATTTTCCCATACTGAAAATAAGTTTCTGATAGGTACTTACCTCTGCTGTTGTTCTTGTTCAGTGCTGCCCTCTGTGGATAAACTTTTTTTTGTATGCCACAAGCCTTGAACTCCCATGTACCCCACAATCAATGTGGTTCAACTGCATCTCGCATGTAAATCATGATACAACAACCCTCCACCAATAGGAGTGCAATACACCCTTCTGACATGTGAATTCCTCTATTTGATTCTACTGAACTATCACTTCGAGATTAGGCAGAAAAGAAAGCACCAGGTTTCAATGGAGAGAAAAAAGAGGGAGGAGGTAAGTACCTATCAGAAATCTATTTTCAGTAATAGCTTCCGATATGGTACATTACCTCCACTCACATGTATAGCTAGAATTCCACATTGAATAGGTGGAGGGACTAGTGCAAGGGATAGAAATAAGTATCCTTCAAAAGCCTCCAAAGAACACCTATGAAATGTGATCCCTGTTGGGAACACATGGAGAGACTGCACCACTTCAGTGCAAGGTATACTCTGCACCTAGCGTGGAAACAGGTGTCACATACATGGGCAGAAAGTGTGAAATGCACAATCAAAAAGGGAGAGAAAACTGGTTGAGTTGGAATCCGAACCACAGTGTACCAGAATCTCATTCCCACAGAACAAAGACCATAGAAGAAACACCTAGAGACAGGAATGTGGGGAAAGCTAAAATGGATATGCTCCAAGGTGTAGAATGGGTAAATTGCAATGGACTGAACTCAGCTGGTCAACTCCAATCAAAAACCAAGTAGCACTAGGAATAAAACCTCTAACCCACGGTGGGAGGAGGGTCCACACAATCTTCACCTCAAGGTAAATAGAATGGAAGCGTATATTGTGCAAACTGATCTGTGAAATGGGCACATTAGTGTAAATCCACAACCAACCACAGAAAGAGATGTGCCAATGTGGCAGGTCACATCAAACTTAATCAGACTGGCATCCTACTGTGCAAAATCAGGTTTAGGCAATGAAAACACCCTAAGGTGGAGCAGAAGAGGAAGAACCAATGCCCCAATTAAAATTATCCTCTGGATAGGACTGCACAGAAGTCAGAGTGCAACATCACCCTCTGGGTCCCATCTCACAATAGTGGATCACCTCTAGAAATATATAGCAACTGCACCCTCCACATAGAACCGCACAAAAGCAGGACACAACATTAACCTCTGGAACCCATAGCATGGAGGTGTAGATCCTGAGGTAAACCAATTGAGGAAGAGGAAACACAACCAACACACGTGTGAGGATTTATGTTGATTGGTCCAGCTCTAATCCAAAACCACTCACAGGGAACCGACATCCTATAGGATAAGGGATTCCAATCGAAGGTATAAACTGCAATGTGATGGATCTACTCCAAAGCAACATCATTCTCCAGATAGGGCTTCACAAAGGCTGGAGAGCAATTGCGACATCTGGGTGGATTTATCTATAAAATATAAGAAACCTCACCCACCAGATAGAACTGCATAAAAGTTGAGTGCAACATCAATCTCCGGGACATACCGAACAGGGGTGAAGCATATTTATTTGTAAATATGTGCAATATCGTCCCACAGATACAACTGCACAAAAGTTGGAACTTAACATCAAGATAACTTACCCAGTCATGCCTACACCGAACTTTGAAGGGTAGTGCAGTACCCCAACGAGGAAGAAAAGCTACCCAGTAAAGATAGTGGGAAATGAACGTACGAGTTGGAAGCCACATGCTTGACTGAATAGTTTCCTTCAAAGGGTACCTCATAGGTACGAATCCAGGAAAAAAATGGAAGGTGCCCGATCACAGAGTCCACATGTGAATTAAAAGACCTTGGAAAATCTCCAAAAATAAACAGATGGAGAAAAGGAGCCATCTGGTAGCCACGAAGATAATAGGAAGGTAGAGGAATCTGTGAAAAGACAGCATCTTTCCCAATAAGGTCCCAAAAGCAATAAAACCATGTGTGAAGGGATAGGACTGAAGAGGACAACAGTGCCAATGACAAGTAAGGAGGGAAAGTGTATCCCTTAGGGGACAAGTAGAGTGCCTCAGAAAAGAAGTGTATGTTGGACAAGTATTTTAGGAGAGCTGTAAAGGTAAGATGAAGTTGGGAAAATGGACATGGAGGAAATGGATAGGGTAATCAGGGGCAGCCCTCCACATGAACAAAAGTGATATTAACTGCTGAGAGTCAAGAAAAGGTTGATCAGCTTCTGATAAGCCAAATCATAAAGATCAGAAGTCCATGGATACTAACACCAGACCTCAACTGAGAAACAAAATGCTCATCATGAACCCAGATGTCATGGGAAGGAAGGAAGGTAAACAAGGGAGTCCAATGATGGTTGTCATCTTAAAAAAAACACCATATCATATGAAAACTGAAAAAATGAAACACACCTGAAAAAGCATATAAATAAGGCAGAGTTAGGCCTAGTAGATTTTGGACTAAATGCATGGGAAACATGGCATAGATAGGAGGAAGGGAAAAAAAACCCAAAAAACTGTCAAAATCCTCCTTGTTATGAACAGGTTCAGAAAATGCGAGAAGAAGGCCGCCTCATATAACAATCAATCTCCTGACAAATGATAGCCATAAAATCCTCAGTCGAGACCCTCAGACCTGAAGCTGGTAATGGCATTTCAAGTAGTGGTAATAATATCAGAAGTTGTAAAACAAACTTTGGAATTCATCTTAAACCTTGAAAAAGTCAAAAATGAGAAAAAAATATCAACAAACAAAGGTAAGTTATCGTGGCAAACTACTACAAACTAACTGTAGCAAATAAATAAATCAAGTAAATCACTACCTCATAACAACAACAACAAAAAATGAAGCGAACATGTTAAAATCACAAGTGAAAAATGTCTGCACTTGACCACTGCCTAATGAGAAATGATAGTTCAATAAAATCGAATGGTAGGAGTCATGTGTTGGGAGGATGTATCGCACTCCTATTGGTGGAGGGTTGTTGCATGATGATTTACATGCAAGATGCAGTTGAACCACACTGATAATGGGAAACATGGGAGTTCGAGGCTTGAAGCATGCAAAAAAGATTTTTGTTATATAGAGCAACTATACATGTGGATGGAGGTAATGTTCCATATCTGAAACATTTTTAATAGTAACTGAACATTTATAAATGCAACAAAAAATCAATAAAATAATTTTTTTCATTTTATATAAAGCTATTTTTATACCTGGGATGATGGGGTTGGCCCAACAACTGCAACAGAATTATGACGTTGAAGTGGAGCTCCAGCACCCGGTTTGCCCCATGGATCATACACCTGCATCTCCTCTTTAAAATAATATATAACAATATATTTATATATATATTGAAACAATGAATTAATTTTCAATTTTCATATCCATGACAACTAAATGAGGTTTAAACAAAATCAAATGAAATACAGTGTTCTCTACAAAGGATTCCTAAACAGCTTAAATAATATATTTTTTGTAGTGAGAGTCAATTTCTTTTGCCAATAAATATAAATTAATTAATTTACCACACAATCTCATATTTCCAAATACAGCCCTTGATTTGAAAATTCTGAGTTTAAAATTTTTCTGATAAAATGCAAACATTTACTAAATTTAAAGTAATTATGATTTCCTTTACTTAAATTACTTCCAGCTGTATTACATGTCAAATACTTTCGAAAATAAAAAAAAACTACACAAGTTTTCTTTGTAATGGAATATTAAACAGCCAAACTCCATCTTTTTACTAACTATAGTTCAATTTTACTTCTCACATTACCTATTTTTTTTAAACAATAGCCCAAATTATTTTTACTTATTTTTCAATATAACTTTTTAGTTTTTCCCTTTTTTATTCACTCTAGGCCAACCAAGAGATTAAAGAAAATCAAAGATCAGATATGCAAATATCTCTCATTCTTAGTAGGACAAAAAACAGTGGATGAGTGGAGAATTGTTAATATTACTCCTACTTTTAATTAAGAGTTGTTCTGGAAATTATAGATCTGTTAGCCTGACCTTTTTAATAAGAAGAATTCTACTTTAATGACACAACTTGTGCGAAATTATCTAGTGAAATATGAGGTCATAAAATAAAATAAACAAGGACTCACTAAAGAAAAATCTTCCCTTGCTAATATTATATGTTACCTGCTGTACTTAGACTAATAATGTGTTAGCATTAGTTAAGAAAATCGCATCAGTATGGGTTAGGGAAAGGCTAGTAAATTGGATGGTTGGGTGAGAGAAAACAAAAAGTTAATAGCAATGGAGTCCAGTCGGTTTAGACCCTTGTTAGTAGTGCTTTTTTGCATTAATAATATGGTAAAGGGCATAATTAGTAAAGTTTGCAGACAAAATTAAACTCTTAGCAGTACTGATAACAAACAAAAAAGTATCTGTCCACACTCACATGAAAAGTTTAAGTTAATCTATCAATTTCAATTATTTCATTGACTTTAAAAAGGTAATTGTGTTGCACTCTTGGTTTCCCTCACAGCCAAAGCTCTGAGCTACTTATACAACCCACCATGAAAAGTAATTGTTGAACATTTCAGTCACGCTAAGAGCCGCTCAACAATAACATACAGTAAACCTACATTTTTATTCTTTAAGTTGTGTCACATTTTGGAATGTGAATGATAGTGTGTTTAATTCCTAACAATTTAGTGTAGAACATCCTGCTTGCAAAATAAAATTTGGCATCAACATTATTCATGCCTGTTCTCCAATCATTTCAAAAGTGAATTTTGAGCTTTGCCTGAATGTGCAGACAAACAGACAGACACCATGGTTCACAATATATGCAAGATGTTGGGATACTTACTAAAGAATGAATTCATTCAATTGGTTAGTTGAACAAATAGCCTTTGATTATAGTAAATGCAAGATAATACATTTAGGTTACCATAACTTGGATGAAGTTTAATAATAATAATAATAACAACAAACCACACTACAATGTGACTGAAGAAAATGATCTTGGCATAGTGATGGATAAGTCACTCAAACCACTGAGGCATTACTCTACTGTTAATAGCAAAGCTAACAGAATTTTAAAAGTGATTATTTATAGACATTGATTACAAGACACAAAATTTATTTCTTTATACAAATCAATAAATGGAATACTGTATACAATTTTGGTCTCCTCACTTAAAGAGAGAATATTGACTTAATGGAAAGGATTCAAAGGAGGACTACTAGAACAATCCCCAAGGCAGAAGGGTTGTCTTATATGGAGAATATTGACTTAATGGAAAGGATTCAAAGGAGGGCTACTAGAACAATCCCCAAGGTAGAAGGGTTGTCTTATATGGAGAATATTGACTTAATGGAAAGGATTCAAAGGAGGGCTACTAGAACAATCCCAAAGGTAGAAGGGTTGTCTTATATAGAGAATATTGACTTAATGGAAAGGATTCAAAGGAGGAGCCTCGGGGATTGTTCTAGTAGATATAAGACAACCCTTCTAGAGAATATTGACTTAATGGAAAAGATTCAAAGGAGGGCTACTAGAACAATCCCCAAGGTAGAAGGGTTGTCTTATATGGAGAATATTGACTTAATGGAAAGGATTCAAAGGAGGGCTACTAGAGCAACCCCAAAGGTAGAAGGGTTGTCTTATATAGAGAAGTTAAGAACTCTTAAATTATATTCTCTTGATAAAAGAAGAGAAAGAGTGATATTAATGAAGTTCACAAGATTTTTCCATGATTGATAGGATTAAGGCCTCTGATGTTTTTGTGCTATATTCTGAAAACAACAGAATTAGAGGATATGAGCTTAAGATTTGGAAGGCAAGCTTGGCTCCAGTTAAGAGATTTTTGTAATGATTTGTCATTGGCATTCATGATATTAGAAAAACATTTAGGTTCTAGAAATCAATTTAATACAAAAATACCTTTGAAAAGCACTAGAGTTATAGGGTATCATATTATTGTAATTGGCATTAGCGGAGGTAAGTACTTCATAGAAGTTTAAAAAGTGAATCAGTGATTTCCTGAAAAGTAAAGCATAGGTTTAAGTTTTTACTTTTCTTCAAAGGTGGGTGTGCAGGAACAGCCTTGAAGGACCAAATGATCCCTTTTAGTTCCTGTGTTACCATCATCTATAGCTCAAACTTCCTTGCCCTAATTTTACAAGAAATGTCTTTAATTATTCTTAATTTTTTATTTGTTAATACAACCTAACCTCACTTTATTCACTACACTTTTACAGTTTAATTTCTATTTTGTTAACTGTATCCCAACCTTATTAACTACATTTACAACTTATCTTCTTTTATTCATCATAATCATCCAATACAACTATTTTGTAAGTTATTTACAACACCCCACTTTTAGTTAGGTTTCATACTATTGTATTTAAATGTCAACATTAGGTTTATTTACTTTATTTACTAAGTCTCAGCATTATTTCCTTACTTAATACTATTAATTAATCCAAATTTATACATTTTTAGTTTTTTTCCACATCTCAACCATCCTCTTGTCTAATCAAATACTTTTCAACAACAAACTCTCAAAATCAGAAACTTTACCTCTCTCCCTTTCCCACTGCAGTCTTTTCTGTTCTACCTTGCTGAGAGCTTGTCCAGCTATTTCTGGTTGTGAAAATGACCTACGCCGAGGGAACGTTGCAGAATTATTAAGTGGTGGGCTGGATGCCGAGATACGGCATGGGGAAGTAGGATTTGGTAGGAAGCCAGGTGTTGAATTTCTATGTGCCCAATTGGGAAGCCCACTGTGAGATTAACAAACCACATTATCATGTATATCCAATAAATGGACTAGTATATCTTACAGTAAATTACAATGTTTTACTAACAATGCCATGTATATCCAATAAATGGACTAGTATATCTTACAGTAAATTACAATGTTTTACTAACATGCCATGTATATCCAATAAATGGACTAGTATATCTAACTGTAAATTACAATGTTTTACTAACATGCCATGTATATCCAATAAATGGACTAGTAGATCTAACTGTAAATTACAATGTTTTACTAACAATGCCATGTAAATCCAATAAATGG